TATCTAAAGCCAGGTAGGTATATAGTGTATATTGAAAGGAAGTCCTTTGTTCCTGTATTGGTTAACACTTTGAAGAGCTATCATTTCTCACCTTCAGGATGCACTTTCAACTTTATATGTGAATATTTTCTTTGCTCTGATATCTGGTGGTTAATTTGATTCATATTGTCTTTGATGATGATAAAAAAGTCAATGAAAAGTGTTTGGGGCCCTTCAAAAGTGCCAGTCTTCAAAGCAGAGTATGTAGCATGGCCCATTAGGTTATGGGAAGAAAATACTAGAATTTTTATTGGTGTTATATCTAAAACATAAAATAAACCTTAATTGACATTTAATATATGGCATCCTCACTTGATCCCTGTGTTATACTGTCATGTGTCAGGTAATAATCCACGAGGAAAGGGTACAGAAAGTTTACAGAGACACCTTGTTTTTATCTTTATTTTCAATATTGGGGTGGATTATAGTCCTATGTGGGCCTAGTTAGGTCAATTTATGGATTTAACTAAATAAGATCTCACAAAACAGGCAAATGGCATAAAAGGAATGCAAAAAAACTGTATATTGAAGGCAATACTATTAATGTGAGTAGAAATGAACCACATGTATGTAAAAGTCAGAGCTGATGACTCTCCTACGATTAATGAAGTAAAAATCAGTGACGGTCTAATCTCATTTGTAAAGACATCCCCAAAATTTGGAATTATTAAGAAAACAATTTGATATATGGAATTATCTCCATTATTGTTAATAATGAAACTTTCTCTGTTATTTTGTTCCTTGAAATAGTGATAGTAGGTAGCCATTGTTTAGAAACATACATCACAGAAAGACAGACATTCACAAGTTTTTCAGTGACGTTTAAGGTCATGTGACACGTATTCAGTATCTAGAAAAATTTCACTAAAATTAATGTTAGATATTTAAAAGCCTCTTTTGGGTTTTCTTAATAGCAAAAGACCAAATGCAATACATTTTTAATAACATTAGGGACACCCTTCAATGGACATGGATTTGGGTGGACTCTGAGAGTTGGTGAAGGACAGGGAGGCCTGGCGTGCTGCGGTTCATGGGGTCACAAAGAGTCGGACACGACTGAGCGACTGAACTGAACTGAACTGTTCTTTTGTTAAAGTAAAATGGATAACAAGACAGGGGAAGCAAAATGGCAATAACTTACATGGATTCTTTTAGGAATAAATACTTTCAGATGGAAATCATTGCCAATGATGTGAAGCATTAAGAATTAAAGCAAATTATTTATTGAGGAAAGATGCTAGACAGTTAAAGTACAGAAGTTTCTAATAGGGCCCAGATTATCTTCTTAGCTAGATTCTGTTTCAGTAATGAGATACATGAACTAAATTATTCTTAAGCCTCAAAAGTGGAGATAAATCAAGGAAGATATATTCTCAAAAATAAATGTCTTCTTAAATATAAAACAATGTTTATGAGGGAATTCCCTGGCAGTAATATTCTTGTTCTGACCTGATAGGGGTTTGGATTGCTACCGTATATATACATTTGCTACAGTTCATTAAATGAAACACTCAAGATCTGGGCATTTCATTGTGTGGAAAATTTACCTTAAAAGAAAAAAAAAATCATACTTATTAAACTCAGGTTAATGATACACACATCTAACTTTTAGGGGAAAGTATATTTATGTCTCGGACTTACTTTGAAATACATTTAAATACATCTAAGATGGACTGATAAATGAATGGATTGATGGATAGTCTAGTGTATTAGTAGACTGTACAATAGTATAAATATATGTATATATGCATGCACACTCAGTTGTGTCCAACTCTTTTTGACCCCATAGACTATAGCCCTCCAGGCTCCTCTGTCCATGGGATTTCTCAGGCAAGAATACTGGAGTGGGTTGCCATTTCCTTCTCCAGGAGATCTTCCTGACCCAGGGATCGAACCTGCACCTCCTGCATTGGTAGGCAGGTTCTTTACCAGCTGAGCCACAGGGGATGCCTGGTACAATAGTATAATAGTAATAAAATGGCAGTTGCAGAGTCTAGGTGGTGATATATAGATGTTCTTTGTAAAATTCTTTGCATTATTCTGGTACATCATCCTTAGTCTGTAGTAACTCAGAACTTGATGTCATATGTGTGAAGAATGCTTCAGGATGGTACAGTTTTTATAAAAACCTGACTAGTTTTTATTGACTCTTTATAGTACTCTGTAATGAGATGAGGAGTGATCATGAAAATAATTTGAATCGCAAGAGCTTCTTTGGTTATGTCACAGCAAAGATTGTAAAAAACTGTTGAATTTAAAATGGGTGAAACTTTTTTAAAATGGAAAGATATGTCAAATTTGTTGACCCTTTTTGTAAAACAAGTGACTGTGCAACTTGCCGCCTAGTAGATTGCAAATCAAGCAATCAGCCAACCAGTGGAAAACTCTTATTCCATCCCTTCAAAGTAAAGGTGATATTTTTACAATGAGTGAGAAAGTAACGACAGACATAAAAATATAGAACACTATTCAAATTTCTGCTTGGAAGTGTTTTATGATGTGGTTTTTGTCTTCAGAGATATACGTATCTTGTGAAAAAACTCTTAACAATATTTTATAAACTGTTAAGAAATCTTCCAAATAGTTTCATTTGATTTTGAAATCAATTTTTTAAAATGTTAAAGTGTAATACATCTTGATTGGTTTGCAAGAATAATTAATTGCCCTGAGGGAAGATGAACATTTATTAGCCAAAGTTGAATAATAACTTTTGCAATTATCCTTTCTCAACTACAGAGACATTACAATTGAGTACTACAATAAGCAGAACTTAGGAACTGTTTCAGTTGCTGGATTACAAAATATTTAAATCAGTATTTTGAAAACAATGTACATAGTTTCATTTATTTTCATTGTTTATTAGATTGAAAAGATCTGTACAACTAGTATATAAAATGAGTATTCTTTATGCTTCTAGATATTACTACTTTGTCATTTACATGTATCACAAATATCACCTTCAAATTTATAATTCATCTTTTTACTTTCTTTATGGCATATTTTTATCAAAAAAAGTTCTTAAAGCTATGAAACTATTGATTTGTATTTTAAATGAAAAAATATATGAAACTTTTTAAATGCTTGTAATCTTTATTTTTAATCTCTGTGTATTTTTTACTGTGCATAATGTATTAGTAAAATAGTTTATATATAATGCATATGCACATACTGGAGGATTGTAATAAAATTTTGTTTGTGTTTTTTTTTTTTGGTGTGTTTGTTGGAGTATGTAATCAAAGAATTTTGGAGTTTTCCAAATCACTCATGATCTGGCACACTGTTATTGCTAGCAGCAATTATTTATACTAAAAGTTTAAATCATTATTTTAGAGATTATAAATCAACACATGGTTTCTAGCTTGTGAGCCTTTGTTTTTTTCAATGTTAAACTTTGAAAAATGAAGTTTACCTTTAGTCTAAGTTCTAAAAGTGGTTCTCAAATGCAGAGCAGCATCAGTGTCAACTTACTAGAAATAGAAATTTTCAGGTCCCATTCCAGACCTATTGCTAAGCAGAAATGCTTGTTAATGAGCTTGCCAGGTGAGTTTAAGCTCAGTCACATTTGAGAACCACTGGCCAAATGCTTTAGACTCCTGTGTCATCCCTTCTTTTTTCTTCCTGCTTCTTGGTATATCTGAGACAGTGTCTTCAGATCTGGTGTGTCTCAGTTTAGTTCAGAGTTCTGTTCGTCTCTACTTCAGATTTCTACTTTTTCCTTTACTCCTTTTCTCCTTTTTCCTTTTCCCTCCTTCCTAATGTGAAAAATTATTCGTTAGTGCTATTCTCACAAAAGGGATAGTGTTTTGGTTCTTAGAATTTGGATGCCATAGCCAGCATGACAAACAGTATGTTTAAACGGGCTATTTTAAATATTTCAAATTAACTTTTGTTAACTACTTCCTGTTGGACTCAATATGCCTTGATTAATGTCCTATTCTTTTCCATCTACGCCCTCTTCAGATTTTTTAGTTTCAAAATAGCTTTCCAACAACTAAACTTTTAAAATATACACTTCAAAGTATGAATCACCTAGATTTAGCAGTTGTTGAATTTTGTTTCATTTGCTTTATCTCTCTTCTACACATACACACATACACACACACACATACACTTTTTTCCTTTGCTAAACCATTTAAAATTGTGTACATCAATACCTTTTACTCTTAAATACTTTATTAATATTAATAATAAAGATCAAAGTACCTTTAAGTGGGAGTAATATAAAATTGTTTTGAAAGGCCAATTTATTACAAATGCTAAACCAATTATTAAAGCCTCTTAAATATTTTCAGAGCTTTCTATAAATGTCTTATTGAGAAAAAATATAAAACTTCAAGTTGTGAGTGTATCAATGAATTCTCAAGCCTTTCTCAACCAGAGTTTTTCATCTGAGCTTTGCAGAACACAGGGATGATTTCAGTGACTGTTTTCTCATTTCTCTCAAGGATGGTGCATAACTAGTACCAATCCAGATGCATAGGGGAGAAGTTCATTTATTATATATATAGTGAAATTGAAAGTCGCTCAGTCATGTCCAACTCTTTGTGACCCCATGGACTATACAGTCCTTGGAATTCTCCAGGCCAGAATACGGGAATGGGCAGCCTTTCCCATCTCCAGGGGATCTTCCCAACCCAGGGATCGAACCCAGGTCTCACACATTGCAGGCGGATTCTTTACCAGCTGAGCCACAAGGGAAGCCCAAGAATACTGGATTGGGTAGCCTATCCCTTCTCCAGCAGATCTTCCTGACCCAAGAATCAGACTGGGGTCTCCTGCATTGCAGGCAGATTCTTTACCAACTGAGCTATCAGGGAAGCCTTATGTATATAAGGGTTGTATTAAGTGTTCCCTTTGGGAACCCAGGTTAGTTGAACTGTATATGTGGCACGTTTTTAAAAGGGTTTTGCTTTGACTAGATTGTAATGTTTATACAAATAATTTTTTTTTTTTTTTTTTAGATTACAGGTCCCCCAGGTTGTGGAAAAACTCAGTTTTGTATAATGATGAGCATTGTGGCTACATTACCTACCAACATGGGAGGATTAGAAGGAGCTGTTGTGTACATTGACACAGAATCAGCATTTAGTGCTGAAAGGTAGGAGATTTTATTTTCTATTATAATGCTTTATTTTTGTAACATATACAGCATATAATATTTACAAACAGATTAATATTTACTTTTGATAATATAGAGTATTGTTAATAGATTCAGTTTTAAAGAAATTTTCTTTTTAAAATGACACAGGAAGCGCATTCTTTGTTTCCATACTTTAAACTTTTTGTTTTAATTTGATGTATAGCCAATTAACAATGTTGTAATAGTTTCAGGTGAATATTAAAGTGACTCAGACATACTTATACATGTATCTATTCTCCCTCAAGCCCCACTCCCATCTAGGCTGGCACATAACATTAAGCAGAGTTCACTGTGCTATACAGAGGTCTTTGTTGGTTATTCATTTTAAATATAGCAGTGTGTATATAACCTTCCTAAAGTCCCTAACTCTCCAGGAAGCGTTTTCTTTTTGCCTTTTCTATCCCTTTATTGTGGTTTAAAGGGAATTTCTGGATAAGCTGTGTTTTTCACAAAGTGAGGAAGAAATAAATTTAAGAAACAGAGGGAGAAATATAAGTAGAAAATGGAGAAGAGGGAAAATTAATAAGAAAGACAAAAGGTAAACTGCTTTGTAAGTAATTTCTAGTTGGAAATAAAATTTGTGAATGAAAAAATTGCAATTTTCAAAACATTTTTTATTGAACATTATTTTACTTTAATCTTTGAAATAATGTGGTATTAAATGCAGGAAACACTGATAGTAAGTATATGCATGCTTAGAAAAGATTTCCTTAGTTTGGCAAGGACCTTTGTTTTAACATTCTATGAGAAAGGCATTCAGTCATTTATGTAATTCTGTAAATCTGAAGATAAGTCTGGTCTCCTCTTCTGCTGCTCTGACAAACATTCATAAACAGGAGTGCTTATACATCTGCAGACTGATTCAATTCTGTTTTCTTAGCCAAGGTGTAGTGTGTCACAATGAATCTTCCTTATTTTTCTCTACAAGTACTACAAAGATCAAAGTGTATTACCCGACCAGGTAAATTCCAAATGGAATTTTGCCTAGAGCTTATTTGCTTTGTTCTGCACTTCTTGATAATCTTTTCTTCCTCAGTATATACCACTGGTTTGTCAGCTGTTTAAGTTTGTGTTATATCTTTGTATCTTCAAAGCCAAATCCTATAAGTAGCACATACTGGCTACTCAGAAAATGTTTGATAAATGAGGGAATTGACAAATGTTACTCTCAGATCATGGAATCCAGATACCATTTCCTACTAAAAGGAACAAGGGTTCCGTAGGGGAATGGCCAATTCTAACTATGGAGCAGAAAGGTTTTGTTTTTTAGTAAGAGGCAAAAGATTTATTTGATCTGAAGTGAAATCAGAGTATTAGGAGGTTTATAAGTTGAACCTGAAACATCAAATATCAAGAGAGCTATCAAAGACTACTTACAGGGAGTGTCAGAAGGACTTAAGAGTCAACCTGAGGAGCTCGCACTAGCCAAAGATGAAACAAATTGATCACCAATAGAACAATAATAGAAGTAGACTAAGACACATGAAATATATTTAAATTCATGAGTCTATTATATTAAGAATGAAAAGCAACAAATTAATCACCTTTGGAAAATTCTGGAGATGCAACTTATTATTTTGAAAATGGGTTTTTATAAAAAAGGAAATAAAGCATTTATTCTGGTTTCTATATAAATATTACTAAGTAGTAGATATGTCTTTTTTATAGACAATAAATGAAGAAGAAATAATAGAATATCACCAAATTATAAACCCTAAAAATCTAATGGATCTAGGCAATGAATCATTTCAGTTCATTTCAGTCGCTTAGTCGTGTCTGACTCTTTGTGACCCTCTGTGCAGCACGCCAGGCCTCCCTGTCCATCACCAACTCCCAGAGTTTACTCAAACTCATGTCCATGGAGTCAGTGATGCCATCCAGCCATCTCATTCTCTATCGTCCCCTTCTCCTCCTGCCCCGAATACCTCCCAGCATCAGGGTCTTTTCCAATGAGTCAACTCTTTGCATGAGGAGGCACTGAATATTGTGATACAATAAATATGTATTTTGTAGTCATCCTGGTTCCTGTCAAAAGAACTTCTAAAACTTTTGGAATTTCCTGAGTGATAGAACTGAGAAAAGCATCATTTGTATTCATAATTACCACCTTTCCAACCATACTTGATTTATGCTAATGAAATGACTCTTGATGGCCCTCTAGATTGCATCTAAATGAAACTGATTGCCAGAGGAACCTGTCATGTGATTATAGGTTTGAACTTTCAGCCTTACCTCCCCAGTCTCTGAGCAGGGAAGGACTAGAATTGGATCAATCAACATTTCAATCATGCCCATGTAATGGAATCTTCCAGAACCCTCTAATTGATAGAGTTTGGAGAGCTTCTGGGTTGGTGAACCCATTGAGGTGTTGGGGGTAGGTGGTGCTCTCAATTTATTGCTAACTGGTCTGAAGTAACAGAGGTCTGGGACTTGTGATTGATGTCTGAGGTCAGGGCAGTCATGTGAGTCTGAGCCTTTAATCTGTGGGGTCTGAGTTAACTCCTAGTAGTCAGTGTTATAATTGAACTGACTTATAGGACACACAGTTAGTGTCCATAGGGAATTGGAAAATTGCTTAGTATAGAAAACCTACACATTTGGTGTCAGAAGTGTGAATAAAAATGGTTCATAAACAGAAAAGCAGGCTAGCATCACAAAAAGGCAACCAGTCATTGTGGTACTTCCTGATGGAAAGTGATCAAGGTTTCAGACCAGTTTACAGGGGCTTCCACGTGGCGGTGGTGGTAAAGAACCCGCCTGTCAATACAGGAGACATAAGAGATGTGGGTTTGATCCTTGGGTCAGGAAGATCCCCTAGAGAAAGAAATGGCAACCCACTCCAGTATTCTTCTTGGAGAATCCTGTGGACAGAGGAGCCTGGTGGGCTATGGTCCATAGGGTCACAAAGACTTGGACACTGCTGAAGTGACTTCAGTCACTTAATAATGTTTCTTAACTCACAAGGAACTTACGAAGGTCATTTGAAGACAAGGATTGAAATTTATATTGTTTTTACTTTTCTAGTCTATTCTTCACAAGGCTTGAAAAGTGTAGTCATCTAGTGCTAGGGTCAGATTGAATCAAAGTTCCCAGTGCTCTTTTATATAGATGTCAGACTTGCGTTCTTATAGTGCCTTCTGGAGTTGGACATAGGGGATTACAGAGTGGCACCAGCTCTGCCCTGCTTGGTCACGTTTCATTTGTGCTATTACAAGACTGTTTGATCCCTTTTGGTGTTGCGGGGAAGGGTAGGTCAGGAAAGCTTTCTCCTGCAAGCGGTTGAATACCCAAAGAATAGTGGCTTAAACAACAAGAGGTTTATTTTTTCCCTCATAGCAGGAAGACCTGAGTTGCTGGCGGTGGTTCTGCTTCTCAGTGGTGGTAGAGACCTAGGGCTGGTACATTTTTGGCATTATATCCATCTGTGTTCAAGTCAGTGAGATGAGAAAGAGCCCATTATATCTTGATCAGGAAAGTATACTTTTCAGAATAGCTGCCTCTTCTCTGCTGATTTTCTTTTCATGCTTTGGAGTCCTTCTCCAGATTACTCAGTTGGTCACCCTTGCATGCAAAAGAGAAGGGGAAAATCAGGGGGAAAATATTTGTAACAAGCCTGATGGGGCTGGTTAGCATTATTGTCTGAGTGAAATTGAGGTTCCCACATTGCAGGGAAGAAGTGGAAATGAATATTGGTGGGTAATTAACAGTGTCTGCCACAACTGAGATAGTTTATGGACTTGGAAAAGATATAAAGCAGGAAAAATAAGACTGAAAAAGGAAAATTTTTAGCCTTCTGTATGTCTATATGGAGCACTCTCTCCATTTTGTGCTTAAAACAATCTGTTGGAAAAAGGCAAGTGAGAACGTAAATTGAAGAATTAATATGATGGAAGATTAAAGGATTCACATCTAGAGAATTTAGGGTAAGTGGAAAATATTTTCTATCAATAAGTTGCTAAATATCTTTTTATCAAGAAGGAGGAAGAAAACAGTAAATAGAAAGAAAAAAGAATAAATAAAAGTAAAAAATTTAAAATTTATTTAAAAAAAGAAACCCTTGTGGGTGATGTACTTGAAAGCACTTTAGAATGAATTGAAATGATTAGTTATATATTTTTTCCAACAGTGCACTAGCTAGCTTATTTTTATATGACTTTGAGCAGTATGTTAATCATACATGTTCATCACAGACTGCAATTGTATTTCCATACTGTTAATAATTAGATAATAGTATGAAAGTGAAAGTCGCTCAGTTGCGTCTGACTCTTTGCAACCCCATGGAATATGCAGTCCAGGGAATTCTCTAGGCCAGAATACTGGAGTGGGTAGCCTTTCCCTTCTCCAGGGGATCTTTCTAACCCAGGGATCAAACCCAGGTCTCCCGTATGGCAGGCAGATTCTTTACCAGCTGAGCCACAAGGGAAGTCTGAGAATACTGAAGTGGGTAGCCTATCCCTTCTCTAGTGGATCTTCCTGACCCAGGAATTGAACTGGTGTCTCCTGTATTGCAGGCAGATTCTTTACCAACTGAGCTATCAGGGAAGCCCAGATAATAGTACGCTGCTGCTGCTAAGTCACTTCAGTCATGTCTGACTCTGTGCGACCCCATAGACGGCAGCCCACCAGGCTCCCCTGTCCTTGGGATTCTCTAGGCAAGAACACTGGAGTGGGTTGCCATTTTCTTCTCCAATGCAGAAAAGTGAAAAGTAGAAGTGAAGTCGCTCAGTCATGTCTGACTCTTAGCGACCCCATGGACTGGAGCGCACCAGGCTCCTATAATAGTGTAGTCTGGTGCTAAACCCTCAGGTAATAGGGACTGCCTTGGGGAGACGGGAGTGCCAAACAGGCAGAATTCTGAATCCCCTTCTTCTGATTGATTCAGGAAAAGTCTGTTTTTATTTGTTTTACCTATTGGATTTCTGATCAGGGTCTGATATAGTTTTAGATACTATATGCTG